GTAAGACCTGATAAACAGCCCCCACTAGCCTAAAACTACCTCTTACCTCAAACTCCTACCTTGCCTCTCAAATGCTTGGAATTCCAGGAATATATTATGACAATGTGATAAAACCTTATGTACATTCAATATTTTTTCTAGTGCTAAGTAAGGATTGAACCCAGTACCTTGCAAATGCTAAGACAGGTACTCTTACTGCTAAGCTATATCATATGCCATCATAGCTCATGCCCATAATCCTAATTTCCTGGGTGTTGGAGATAAGAAGGATTGTGGTTTGAGGAAAGCCCAGGCAAAAAGTTGGATTTTTAAAAAATAGTTGGATAAATGTCAGGGCTATGTAACAAGTATAATTACATTGATTTGGGGCTACTTGGTTCAGAGTTTGAAAAACATTGTAAGGAAAGAAGTGTGTATGTATCTACCTTTGTCTATTTTGTTCTCTTTCCTCACATAATCCTTGCAACTTTTTCTTGGCTGAAAAATCAAACTGGTTAGACATGATACAAAGCAGCATTGAGGCATTTAATCATTCTTTGTAAGTTGTTTTCCACCTTGGTGATTCTTTAACTATGTGTATTAATTTTTTTAATATTTTTATTATCCTTAAGTAGTTGTACAAAGGATTTGCCATTTAACAAAGTAGTTTGTGAATACAGTGCATCTTGATCAGTGTCACCCCTTTTTACATTCTCATTCATCTCTTCAAACTCACCTGTTTCCTCACTTTTTTTGGGGGGGTGGGGGTCCAGTCGTGGGGCCTGAACTCTGGGCCTGGGCGCTGTCCCTCAGCTCTTCAGCTCAAGGCTAGCGCTCTACCACTTGAGCCACAGCGCCACTTCCAGCTTTTTTTCTTTTTGCTTATGTGGTACTGAGGAATCGAACCCAGGGCCTCATGCATGCAAGGCAAGCGCTCTACCACTGAGCCACCTTCCCAGCCCTTTCCTCACTTTTTTAATTTTGTAGGATGCACACTGGTTTTTTTTTTTTTACTGCATTCTCACCCCCTTTCTCTGTATATGAATTTTTAATGTTACAGAAATCTCAGTGAGACTGTTTTCTCTTTGTAAGTTGATTGGATAGCTTTCTCATTGGATATCTGTACAGATTAGTCACATAGTCTATAAAGTTATCAAAGTAATATAATTAAAGTTACAGATAATTCAGAAATATTTCTTATACCTGACAGTAAAATGAGATACAACTTCATTTATTGTCTATCTAACAGATATAATAATTCAAAGTACACCTTTTCCTTTATAGAGTGCAGATAGGTCTGTTAACATTTCAATTTAAAGGGCAAGATCTCATTGATAGATTGTAGTTTGAGGTTTATTCTTTCTAAGACATATTTACACTCATTTTGCCATGTCAGTTTAGGAAAACCACATACCAAAAGAGGTCAGGGACAAAAAGAAGCTATTCGGATTAGAAATAGCATTTATTTAGCTGAAGATTGTCTTAGATCCTTTGTTTAACTATCTTGTATGAGCTCCTACTTGCCATCCATGCACAGCATAGAAAATAAACATTCTGGTCACATTAGGGGACTCTACTGGTGGCAGCAAACCTTGGCAAAAGTGAAGTGTAAACTCTGCGATCCAAAAGTAATACGACATCTCTTCATAAAATCACTTGACAAAGGAGAAAAATAATAGAATATAGGGAATTGACTCAAGAGCTGTTGAGGCTGAGAAGTTCCGCATTAGACAGACAATAGAGGCTAGTAGGATGACTCTTTAAGTTGAAAGGCCTCAGAACCAGGAAAGCACATAGAGTAACCTTCAGTCTGAGGCAGAAGGCCTAAGAACTTGGGTGTTAGCACTAATAGAAGTTGCAGAGCCCGAGAAAGAGAGCTAGTTTACTTTCTGCCTTTTTGTTCTGTGCAGTCTCCCAGGTGACTGACTAGGTGATGCTGAACCCACATAGAGGGCGTATCTTGTCCACATCTTTGAAATCACCCTTGCAGACACGACACTTTACCAGTACAGATAATTCTTAATTTAGTTGAGTTGACATCTAAAATTAACCTTCATTCTTTAACTATCCTCAAGGCCAGGATAGGCTGTGTGTTAAAACTTTTGTCAAAGCCAGTTTCTAAAGTCCTACTTATTCACAGACCTGTACAGAGGCCCTTTATAATAAAAATTTGAACATGAGTTAGAGTTGCTTTTGAGATCAAGTAAACACATTATTACTAAATATTTTTTCATGTCATAACTTTTGGTTCTCTATGCCTCTTCCTTAAACTGTATAACAACCTGGTTTTCCATTTAATTATTTCATCATTTGGGGCTACTTGGCTCTTTTTGAAGCTAGAAGCAATTTTACCTCACAGAACAATCACTTGTAAATATATATTTAATTCCAAGCCCATATGTATTTGTTTTGTTTGTTCATAACAGTAATTCTGTTGTCTCAATTTTATTAGCATTTGTCCATTTTTTAGTACATTTAGATCAAAATATTTTAAGCAACTTACCCATAATGATATAGTTTGGAGTTACTATTTGTATAAATCTAAAGACTGTTTATTTCACTCATTTGCTCTGCCTATATTTGTAACATTTATATTGTTCCACTTTTTGTTAATTAGATATAGAAAGAGACTTTCTTAACATAGTTGTGGCTTAGTTCATCCTGAAAGCCAATTACTAGCTGTCTGTGCATGCAGAAGTAAATTCTGTGAAGTTACTTTTCCTCTAAGAGAAGACTATAGACCTCTTTGTGAGCTAGGTGCTAATGGCTCATGCCTGTTACCCCACCTGTCCAGGAAGCTGAGTCCAAAGGCAGCCTGATGAGAAATATGTCTGCTTCTTGAATTTAATGTGACACGGATTCCAGGACCATCTTCAGAGGTTATCTAGTTAAATGATCTTATTTAATATAAGCCTAAGTTTTTATGTTGTAAGGTAATGCAAGTTGGATATCCCTAATCCAAAATTCCAACTCTGACACTGTATGTTTCTGAAGCAGAGAGTGCATTTCTTCATGGCTACAGCATCTAGTGGTGAAAAGCGTCTTTCACCAATGAAAAGGATTCTTGGAAAATGTGGAGTCATTCCCATTCTTAAACAGCAACAATCATTCCATGCTGTTTGCAGCTTTGCTTCTTAGTATTGTTCATAAAAGAGTCATCGCTGGGTCCTCTAGTGGCAGTTCTAATATCACACAGCTTTGGTTGTAAAGTTTTTGTTGGGAGAAATCTATATTGTAGCCTACAGTGTCTCTCTTTGCCGTTTTCTGTTCTAGAAAGTCTGCTTTTGACGAGTTCAGGGTGAGTTATATTTCTTAAAGAGGCTCAGAATCCATGCCAACCATTTGCTAAATTTAGGTCACTAAAAAGAGTAGGTCAATCTCAAGTTTATCTTCTTGGTCTCCTCATTTCATCTCCTCTCAATATGGAACACATGAAGTCACAGGAATCACCCATAATTCCCCCAAAAGAGGATACTGAACCTCTCTTAGTGAATTCTGTCACTGTTTTCAAGGACAACTGTGAATGTTTATTTAAGGAGAACCTTCAGCTGGGAAAAGATCAGCAGTGCCCATGCCCACGTTTATTCCTTGAAACAACTAAAACCCTGGTTGCTATCACCACTAACTCCATCTAAGTATTCCAGTCCTACTAAAATTGTTGTGGTAACTGGAGAAATGATTTCTTCCCTCATATGCCAGTAGTAACAAGATGAGCTGTTTTCACAAGTAGCTTTATAAAACCAAATGGAAAATTACAATAAAGAAACATGTAAACTTGTAAAAATACAAATTACTTATACCAGGGAATATCAAGGAAACTAGAACTTAAACCTCAGATTGGCCGAAGTAACTTTCCCAGCATACAAGTCAAAATTTTTTCTTTCTTCTTCCCATCACTTAGTCATGAAGCCTGAAGAAAGTTCAGGAAGATCCTGGCCTTCATTGAAGTTTGACACCTTTTTCTGTTTCACATCGCTATAATTTGTATTTGGTCTTTCCTTCAGCCATCTAGACTCTGTGGCAGTCTTGAGTTTTTCTGCCTCCTAAGTGTCTATCTTGGAGAGCAAGCCTATAATACTGCATAGCCCAACTATACACACTGTCACAGGAAGCATGCCCCAGCTCTTACTGCTTTCTGAGATTATCTGATGAGCTCATTCTTGGCCATTCCTTTTCCCTATCATTATTATTATTATGTAATAATAATACACACTTTGTGTGTAATAATGCACACTTTGTGGCATAAATTTTCACTCAAGTAATCACCAGAGTTATATACACCGTACATATGCTGAATGATAGATTATTTGCAAAGACAACCTTCCCTTCTTTAAGATGAATATTCTCTACTGTTTCCCTAATTATAAATGTCTACCCAAAGGTATAAGCAGCATTTACACTAATTATAATTACTATGTCATGTCAAAAAATGAGTGAAGCGTTCTGAGGATGCAATTGCTTTGTTTTTCTAAGGCTAGTCCTGTATTTTATTTCAGACTTTTTTTTTTCTGAGCTTTATATCCCTTAGCAATCCTTTTTCCTTTCTTTTTTCTATGTGTTCAGAAATTTTCTACTTCTAAAATTTGTATTAGGGGGCTGGGAAGGTGGCTCAGTGGTAGAGCGCTTGCCTTGCATGCCTGAGGCCCTGGGTTCGATTCCTCAGCCCCACATAAGCAAAAAGAAAAAAGCCGGAAGTGGTGCTGTGGCTCAAGTGGTAGAGCGCTAGCCTTGAGCTGAAGAGCTGAGGGACTGCGCCCAGGCCCAGAGTTCAGGCCCCATGACTGGACCCAAAAATAAATAAATAAATAAAATAAATAAAATAAAATTTGTATTAGAACTTAATCATTAAAAAAAGGAGTTTTCCTTTAAACCTGACAAATGCACATTGAAAGTTGGCTCTCCACTTCAGATTCCATTGGTATCTTAGGGTAAAGTTAAGAAAGAAGAGGAAATTATTCTCTTGAAGGTACCCTTCAGGATTTTTTTTTTTCTGTACTTAAAAACTCTTGTTCTTTTTCTAGGAGTCCAATGTGCTGATTGCTGCTAACAGTCAGGGTACAATTAAGGTAAGCTATTTCATACATCTCCATTTTAAACTCAGAACCTTTTTTAGACTATAACAGTATATTGAGTTTTGAAGTTCATTCCAAATTATGGGCCATTGCTTCCTTGGGTATGACTAGATTGAAGGAGAAAGTAATAGGTAGCTTGTAACTATGGAGAAGATGATAATGCTTATTGAGATTGTACAGGTGGTAGGTGGATTGATGGGTGGTTATAACAGATGAAGACTATTTAGCATTAACTGGGAGCCAAGCACTCTTAGCTTCCCTTCTACAAATTAACCTCCAAGGCATTCAGTAGTCAGGGTCCAAGATACAATGAGAAGTACCTGTGCACTGCACTTAAATATGTTGTACTCTCATATTACTCATTCTCACGTTTCTCTTCTTTTTCTTTTCTGACAAGTAGATTTTTTTCTGAATTCCTAAAGTGAATTAGGATAGAGAAAAAATTTTAGTGTTGCTTGAAAATTGATTGATACAGGATTAAGCCACTGATGAAGTCTGAAAATGGAATGTTCTTTGGAACAGTCTCAGTCACAAACTCAAATACAATGTTTTCCAGACACTTAGTAAACAGAAGCATAGGAAATAAAAATTTTGTCAAATAATACTATTTAGATATTTGTATGTGGACTATTAGATAAATAAAGCTAGGTGAAGCAGTGAAATTTTTCTAAACAACAGTATTTTGGTGGAGATTTTTAGTGCATAGGTTTCACTAGTATACGTACTGAGCATACCTACATATTTTCCCTGGATTATGAGAAAGGCTTTTATTTTTTTAACCTTCCAGTGAACATTAATTTTTCCATGATTTTCCTCAGCTTATCAGAGGTAGGGAATACAATAGCCACCCAGAAAGTAAATCCAAACCAAATAAATTGTATGAGATGGTAGTCTTGTTTTTTTAGGTAGCTAGTTTATCTCTTTGGGTAGGCCTTTCCAAAAAGAAGCCAAAATAGCTTAAATGAAAACTAGGCTTTTGAGATGAATATGATGGCATAATGATCAGCACTCAGGAGGTTGTAATCCCAGCACTTGAGAAGCTAAAGTAAGAGGATCGCTAGTTAGAAGACATTGTATACAAATCCAAGATGTTGTTTTGCAGTGTGAATCTCTATATTTATTAACTAACCTGTTTGTCTAATACAAAGACCAAGGTCATTATGGAAGCAAAGGTATAAGTCAAACCTTAGCAGTATGAGAACAGAAAGATAGTACCTTTAGTTCTATGCTACCTGGAATTACAGTCTAAATGTAAATAATTCTTTTTGTCAGTGTCTCATAATTACCTTCATGTTCCCTGTCCTTTCTTAGCCATTTGCTTTCCTCTTATTTTTAATAACAAAATAGTAGCACTAACAAAATATCATACCAGATGGTTGACGTTGAAAATGAAAGAAGCAAGGGAAAAAGATGTACACATTAATCATTAGTATTTGAGAAGTGTTTGTTTGAGCCAACTAATTTTTGTCAGTAGGAGAAATAAGTAGATTAAAATTGGCAACAGTAATATTTTAAATTTTCTGAAAAGAAAATAGATACAAATATTCCAAATATATTATTTTTATGCTATGCCATCAGCCATCAATTCATTTATCCATGTTCCATGTTATTTATCTTGAAAGCTTACTAATTAACTGTGGTGATAACTAATCTGAAAGAGTTCATGCAGTGCTTGAATTGAAAGTAAGAAAGGATTAATGTCCAATACCTTCACCTTCTTGAGCATTCCACCAGTTGGTAAATATTCTTTATTTGCTTCCCATTGATAAACATATTAGAGATTCACTGAACTCTATTTTTAAAACTATTATATAATACTCATCCTGTTTTTCCCTCCATTTAGGTGCTAGAATTGGTATGAAGGGTTTACTGAAGACATCTTGTGCTCGGTCTTGCTGAAAAACAACTGCAGCTGTGACAGTGAGAGAAGAAACAGAAATGTCGTGTGATGTCCCTCCCAAAGTCATCTGGGTTTTAGATTTCTTTCGAATACCTTTTTCCATTTTTTCCTCCTTTATGACCTTTGGGACATTGGGAATACCCAGCGAACTCTCCACCATCAATATAACTCCATGGACTTTGCTGCTGTTGGTGGTGTGGTTATCTAATTTTTGTGATAGGGAAATAAATTCTTTTGAATAAAAATAAATAACAAAAAATAATAAAAATTTATTGAGCCACAATAAGCTGCTAAAATTTTTGTCAAATGTGAGGATATAAGCATTCAAGAAGTAGCATACATTAATTTTATAAAAACTTACCTGTGAACAACTGTGAAATACTGTAGGCTGGTACTAACCCCCAACACCTCTGGATCCGGACCTAGACTTAAATTTTTGACCAAGTGAAGCTAGTTCTCACTGCCATATATGTGCTGATAATGTACACATAATGTACCCATCCTTGCTCCAACCAGGATAGCACTAATACTGACAGTTAGAGCTGCCTTGTCAGTTACTAGTGCTATCCTTGTTGGAGATACAACTACTCGGCAGCCAGTAAAGCAGGAAAGCTGCCACACATAGAATGGGAACAAATGCTCAGAAAATAGATGGAATTGTAAAATTTTGCCTACAGATCATGATTTGTTAGCCCATTTATTTTATACGTAATTTTCAAATTGTAAAAAAGTAAGATTAGCGGGTTGGGAAGGTGGCTCAGTGGTAGAGCACTTGCCTTGCACGCATGAGGCCCTGGGTTCGATTCCTCAGCACCATATAAGCAAAAAGCTTATAAGCTGGAAGTGGCACTGTGGCTCAAGTGGTAGAGTGCTAGCCTTGAGCTGAAGAGCTGAGGGACAGTGCCCAGGCCAAGAGTTCAGGCCCCACGACTGGACCCAAAAATTTTTTTTTTAAAATTAAGATTAGCAAACCAAACACATGTCATATAGAGCTGCTTTAAAATCTGAGAGCACTTTTCAGCAAAAGATAGTAAAATTATACTCCACACATTTTATTAAAAAATACAAAACAAAACTGGGCTATGCATGGTGGCTCCTGTCTGTAATCCACCTAGTTGAGAGCCTGAGATCAGGACGATTACAGTTTGAGCCTAGTTCAGGCAATAAGTTAATAAGGATTCCTCTTTCTTTTTTGTGTATGCTGATCCTAGGCCTTGAACTCAGGGCCTGGGCACTTTTCCCTGTACTTTTGTGTTCAAGGCTGGCACTTCCACCACAACACCATGTGCATCCTTTTTGGTTTTTAATTGGAGATGAGAGTTTTCAGACTTTCCTGCCCAGGCTGGCAGAACTGTGATCCTCTGATCTCAGCCTCTGGAGTAGGATTACAGAAGTGAGCCACCAAGTCCCAGCAAGGAAACCTTATTTTAACAAGCAGGGGTAGTGCGATGCACCTGTTACCCCTGCCTGATGACAGTTTAGGCTGGCCCCTGGTAAGACACAGGATTCTCCTCAAAAAGCAAAAGAACATAGTAGAGCTGCCTGCCACACTCAAATAAAAACAAGGAGCTGAAGACAATTTAATGAAGATGTTTTGCATAATGTAATCAGTATCACAAATGTATCCCTCAATTTGAAATTACTAAGACCAGCCACAGGTTCACATTGGTTTACCTGAATATCAGAAAATTAGCAATACATGTACTTTCTATTAAGTAACCTCCTGCAGAGTCTGGAGAAATATGCCATAATCAAGCACATTAATATGTATGCAAGAAAGCATATGAATGGTGTTCACATTGTATGAGTTCCAAGTAAGTTCATTTCAAACATTAGATGAATTTCTCTTTCAGATAAGCTTTCACTTTTGACCAAAGCCATATAAGATGGCAACTTTACCTCCACATTAACTATAATAGACACAAAACACCAAACATAGTTTGTATGTTGAGATGGAAGTCTTCCCATATTTTTTTCCTGGGTGGTCACAAACCACCTTCCTCTCAATCTCCGCCTCCCCAGTAGCTGAAATTATAAGTATGCAATAATAAATATTTGAACTCAATTGTATGTTTTATTTCAGGCTGCCTTCATTGTGAATTGATATTAGTTCCCTTAGCTTCTTTGGAAGGGTGCACTTAGATGCATTTGGTTATCAAAGCATGCAGCTTTTTAATTAAGACTTTCCTTTAAAGTATTTTCGAATTATTTCTTGTAAAAAGTTAAAAAAAAACTAAACTGGGCACCGGTGGCTTCCTATTTTCCAACTACTCAGGAAGCTGAGAGCTGAGGATTGGCTCAAAGCCAGCCCAGGCAGGTCTATGTTTAATTCACCCGGGAAAAAAAAAAAAACGGGAGTGGATCTGTGGCTATGTGGGTAGAACACTAGCCTTGAGGAAAAAATAGGAACAGCACCCAGGGCATGAGTTCAAACCCCAGGGCCAACACACACATACACAAATATTAGTCTCTGATAAGACATCCTTACCAAACTCTTGTAAAAACTGCATACTAGTTAAATAATGGTTATAGATCATACACATTGTAACACCAAAAATACTTAATATAGGTAGACAAGGTATATTTCCATTTAATCTATTTTGTGGCTTTTTAGGGGTTCTCACAAAGCTTGTCTTATACCCAATGAATAGGAATCATCACAGACTTGAGTACTTTACAAAATTCTCAAGATTGAGTTCCTAAGTATTAAGATTTATGAGACTAAGCTACAACTTCTGAAAGATGAGTGTTACTGGACCGGTACTGGACTGTTGGAATTACAGGATGCAGTTGAAGTAGAGTGGAGCCTACTAAGGCCTGGTTGAGAATTCTCATTCTGTTACAAGGTTAAGAGGGAAAGGCAGTAATAGCAAAATGTGATTTGTGGAGAATGGATGAAGATGAGTCCCATCAGGAAGAGGTGATCAGTTAAGATAAGGAGTTTGCACTTAAGTTGATAGCATTGTCCATCCCAAAAGCCTGTTTCAATCTTAATGTATATCTTGGAAGATACCTTGTAAATTTGAAGTCATTGTTTTAAGAATAGTCCTCAACAAGGTTATTTCTCAGTGGTTATACAATCCCCAGCCAGCAGTAAGTGATTTGGAAATAATAGCCACAATGCTCATGAGCTTTTTTGGGGGGAGGGCAGGGGGCACCAGTTCTCTAAGCAAAGCAATTATTATATAAATGTAACTTGGATCAACTACTTATCCTGAGCTTATTAAATTATATATGATAGTAAGACCTTGCAGTTCCACAGAACTGTTACTTATCAGTTCTCACATGGTTTCTGGTTAATGTGTTTGATACTACTGAACTCTGGACTTCTAGAAATACTTGTTGAGCTCCCATTCTGTATGAAAACTTGTAATACTAGAGAGAAAAATAAATACGCTTCAGGCCCTCAAGATCTTGTCCAGGTAAGTACACTGAGTAACCAGGGCAGACATAAACCTTATGTGTACATTGGGAAAACAGATTATGTTGAAAGATTTAGCTGAGATGTTATCTCCAAAAGCAAGTAAGAAACTATAAGAAGGGAACATTCTAGGGAAACAAGGAATGAATGAGTAGCTCCAATGGCCAAGATGGACAAATGAACAACAAAGTAATAAGGGATTATCATCCAAAGTATACATGTATGTATGCATTTTAAAATCGTGAAGCCATACTGCTGGAAATAAATTATTGGATAGATAAGACAAATTTTCCAAGCAGAGTTCCTGATTTGTTTATGTAAACATTCCACTTTCATGGGGATAAAGCATAACCCCACTGAAATGTAGGCTGCCGCTGGTGCCTTCTTCCAAAACCTAGAAAGTGTACGGTGAGAAAAAAACTACGATGCAGAAACTTCACAGATACCACTTTGCCAATATTGAAGGTAATGCATGTCGATGTTAAATACTGTTGATAGAATGGAAAGAAAATGATACTTGATGGGTTTTTTTTTGTTTTAAAGTTAGTTTAATAACCCCAGCCTAAATGAGGAAAGCAGACAAATCCCTCTTAGGAGACTTGCTCCTAAATACTTGGTCAGTATTCAAAAAATACTGTTAGCAGAGCCATCGAAAATGAACTCTGAGTAAAGCAAAGGCCTAAGTACATATGATTATATGTTCTGTGTGTCCTGGATGATATTCTGAAGCAGAAAAAGGATATAAAAATGAAGGAAACCCAAATAAAGTGTAAGTGGCAATCTTGGTTTAAAATTTTTAATAAGTGTAACATAGTTACTTGTCAATAGAGGAAGTTAGGTTTAAGGTATAAGGGGTTTTTACTTTTAAATTTTCTGTAAATCTAAAACAGTCCGAAAAAGAAGTTGATCAAAAATTTAGAATTTTTTAAAAAGTAAACGGTGTGAGGGTCAGAATATGCAAAACAAACGGTACCGGACAGATCAATGTATAACCATAGTACACAAAATTTACAGCCATTCAAATGATTTAGTCATGCAGATGAGTACCTGCAGTTAATTACTGCTACATGAAAGCATTACATCTCAAGAAGACTCAAGAAGTCTTTCCATTGTGTCTGGTTTTAATTTATCCTCCTTTCTCTGTGAGTCATTTCTTCTTTCATAGTTTCAGAAGGAAACACTATGGTACCCCAAATCTAGAAAATCCTGAGGATAATCTTTTGAGACAGTCATAAATTCTAAATTGAAATTACCGAAGTTAATCAACTGTAGGGAATGTTTGCGATCTGTTTGAACTGACTTTTGCCCTAGTGCCAAAGCTTATCTGTGGCCAAGGGTTTAGGAACATGAGGAAGAACCACAGAAAATCTTCAATGGAAAGAACTAGGGCAAAAACAATTGTATATGCAGAATGTAAGTAGTGTTAGAGCATGAAGAATGTTTCATCCCATAAACGGGTGAGGTGTGAACATCTGATAATTCAGTCCACACTTTCAGTAGAAGTCTACAATGGACATGGGCAGTTGCTCAGAGGGAAGAGAGAGTCACTAGCCACTTCTGTGTGAGCCTCATTCAGCAAAAATTATGTGGTAGTGTTGGTCAGGGGTCAGCATACTCTTCCTGCAAAAGGCCAGGTAAATATGGGAGGCTCATGTTGGCCATAAAATCTCCATCACAGCTACGTAAGTCTGCACTGGAGCTTGTGAAAGCAGTCCTAGACAAAAATGTAAACAAATGTAGTTGGGTCCCTATAACACCACAAAATTAAACTTCATTAAATTCTCAGGTTACAATTGTTTTTATTTTCAACTATCATGAGCCATCAGGGATGTAGGAGACAGAAGCTGGATTTGAC